CCCCAAAACCCCAAAACCCCAAAACCCCAAAACCCCATATATTTGAGCGAAAATTGAAAGTTTTAGCTAATAATGAATAAAATTACTATAGTTTTTGTACTTGTCCTGGCTTTGGCATCAGCAATGAGACTTCAGACTAGGCAGGAGCCGTCATGTAGAAGTGGAGGAGATGATTTTGGATATAGAGAGATGTGTGAATATTCTAATGGTTTTATCACTTTTTATTCTTGGAACTTAGATCCTTATGGAGAATCTTGGGATAGAGCTTGTACTGTAGAAAATGAGCAAGAATGCTGCATGTATTGCTCCCAACCTTCAGGAAGCACTACCGCAGTTTGCGATACTTCAGAAGGATGCACAAGAATCAATGAGAGAACTGATCTGACCACCATGCCTACCGATATCTTCATCGATGCATAGAGTCACTTAATGATTAAATTCTTGGATAAGATTTTTGAATATCTTTCTATCAAACCAAATTTTGACACTTTTCAAATACTTTAGTTCATTTTTAAAAAGAAATCTAGTTCAACTTAGTAATGGGTTTTGGTTGGAGGAAGATGTCTGAAATAATTGGTTAATGATAGGAGGAAGGTAATGGAGGATAGAGTGAAAGCTTTGATCTCTTCCTATTTTTAGCAACAATCAGATCATTGGCTGAGAAACCTATGATTCTCATTACAAATATTTCATTTTGTCTTAGAAACATCTTGCTTTGGAGTATCCAAAGAGGTTTAGAGCTTGGATTTTAAGAGAAGAATGAAATGTTGCTTATAGATTCCTAACTTCACAAAGAATGAATTTTCTATCAAGCACTTAACATTAAAAAAATCTTTTCATATCAAACTAAACTCGCTCTAAATCAATAACAAGGGCACTAGGTCCCCTTTAAGTTAGACATATTAAGCCGAACAAAATTTTCCACTCTCTGAATGAAGTAAATATTGATGAAACAGAGGTATCTTTGTCAAAGGAACTTTGAATTTATTTAAACTAATCTAAAGTTAGCTTATTTTACATAAGGCTTTGGCTTTAGGAGATCTTCATAATCTTAATGGGCAAGAGTCTTATCTTCTAAGTATTATTACAAGAGAAGATCATAAACCTAACAAGGGAAGCTTTCAGGAGAGTTAGGGTAGAGCATCATGTTTTTTGGAATCAAGCCATTGCTCATTTTTGAACCAATTTTGTAAGAAGTCTTAATTGGCTGAGGAGGAAGGAAATCTTGATGAGAATTAATCATATTTAGGACAGACACTTTCCTTGGGTGTTTGCACCAGACCGATTTAATTACCCTTAGTCTGAACTGGAAAATTTGGTCTTGAGTCTTAAGGCACTTAAATTATGTGAAGGAAGTTTAAAGCCAAAAGTAGTAAAATTCAGGTTTGTAGGCTGAATTGTGGTGGCTTAATGCATCTCAATTTCTCTTCTATTCATCTAAACCAGTTGTAATCGACCTATCCAGCTCCACTCCTGAGAATCCAGGCTTTGTGAGGAGTTGAAATAACATTTTTCATAATTATTCAGGGCGAAAACTAAAGAAGTGGAAATCTTAAGACCAAAAGATGCTTAAATAAAAAAATCCCCTGCAGAAAGGTAAAGTCCTAAAGATTAATAACTTTATCATAATCTTCAGTGTGAACAGTTTGAATACTCTCAAATATAATATTTTGACTTCCTACTCTAGTTCCTGAAACTAACTTTAAAAATTCCAAGTAAAATTTCAAGCAGATGGCTTGGTTTTCAAACCAAATTATAAATAGGGCTGCTCCTCTGGAACCTCCTATAATCAAAGATTACGATCAAGCTCAAAGAAGGCAGCTGAAGTAAGTTTCTAAGAAGATTCTGAGTTCAAAGCTTAAGTATTAAGATTATTTTGATATCTTTTAACTTTTAAAAGAAAGGTCTTAATAGCGCACCAAATATGAAGTCATTCAAAACCCAACTACAAACTCTTGAGCTCAGCTGCTACTGAGATTTGTCAATAGTTAACCTCTTCAGTATCAAAGAGACATATAGAGAAGACAACCTTAGTAGAAGACATGCTCTTCACTATGTAATATCGCTTCATAATTATTGGTATCTACATATCAAAATTAGCATCTACTATCTCGGAGGGAAAAATCTGTAAAATAAAATAGCTGATCACTATGTTAGGAGTTCTAAATTTTCAATTTCCAAGAAAGTTTGGGGTTTTGGGGTTTTGGGGTTTTGGGGA